CCACCATGGAAAACCTGGAAGCACTGGACGACCGTTTCGTTCTATTGCGGGACTCCTCAGCAGTGCGCATCCACGACCTCACCCCCTGCGAGATTAGAACCCAGAACCTACTGATTTTGCGCGCGAGCACTTAACCATTAAACCACTGAGCCGGTCGGCATCCAACGGTGTTAATGTCTAACTTCAACTAAATTCTTTACAATCAAATGAATTCTAATGAAATGAATCTATAAACCAAAACAATCTTTTATCATACATGTGTTATATATAAAGTTATATGTAATGTATTGTGTAATCTGTAATGTTATATGTAATCATGAATATTTCTCATATATTGAATCATAATCATCTGATTAGATTATTGTAGGTATCCCAACAATAAATAACAACAACAAAATGATTAAATCGTACGTTTACCATAATTAGAGATTTATAGAAGTTTCGATGTATAGTAAGATAAATTAGTTACTGATTTTCGCTGAAAACAATTACTTGTCAGTGATCTCTGATAATATCTATAACAGAGTTTTTTTTATTTAAAAATTATACATTTACCATTGAGGCAATCGGTTGTAAAGATTTTTATCATAAACTGTTATAAATTTGCCAATGGATGCATTTTCTAGCAGTTACATAGAGGAGTACACTTTTAACATATATATATATATATATATATATATATATATATATATATATATATATATATAGTGCATTTCCACTCACATGAATAATTACCAGTCATCTCAGTTGGTGGGTAATAATAAATCTCAGCTAGTACAAATGAGACCAATATCATTCATTGGTTTTCTCGTTATTATCAGAATATGGGATTGTGGAGTTCGTAGTGATTTTAAAAGTTGAATTCATGAGTCGACTTAAACTATACCACTATTGAAGACCTGAAAGCACTAGACGGCTGTTTCGTCCTAATACGAGACTCCTCAGAAGTGAGCACACACGATCCCGCACTCGAACCTAGGGCCTTCGACCTCACACACGAACGCTTAACCCCCAGACCAATGAGCCGGTATCCAATGTTGTTAATGTTTAACTTCAACCTATCCACTGTATTACGCGACCATCTTTGATTGTCTTCGGTAGGTAACTGCATCATACTAGGACGAAAAGGCCATCCAGCGCTTCCAAGTTTTCCAATATGATCTAGCTTTAATCAACTCATGAATTCAACTATTAAAAATCACTACAATCTCCACAAAACCACCTTTCTGATAATAAATATGAATGGGTGCTAAATAAATTTCTCAAAATATTTGTAAGCATTATAATACGATTTGTGAACCAGAGAAGTTTAAGCCAAGAAAATAAAAAGTGGAAGGTTGTAAGAATAGTAATAAAATTATTTTATCATATCTTCAACATAAAACAAACTACATATGTTTTTCTGATTAATACCATAAAATTTCACAGGTTGAAATCATGAGTCAATTGAAGCTAGACCCGCACCCCGCGAGTTCATGGATGTGCACTGCTGAAGAGTCCCATACTAGGGCGAAACGGCCGTCCAGTGCTTACAGGTTTTCCATGGTGGTCTAGCTTCAATTGACTCATGATTTCAACCTGTGAAATTTCTTAAAATCTCCACAAAACCCATCCTGATAATAATACCATAAAACACAAAATATTTATACATCCGTCATTCTAACTAGCATGAATATAAAAATAAATGAAGATTCATCGAGAACAATTTTTATCATCAATTTCGCATATAATACTAAAATCTGTTAATGAAAGTTATGGTAATTAGTTAAATCAGTGATAAAACTTTTAACTAAATGCTTGGATCTTTTTCTTGAGCTTTTCTATAACCCCAAGCTTAATCTACTCAAAAACTTAAACATAAGAGAAAAGGTGCGAAATGCCGTAATTGAGCTTTATTTTAAGGTTAGGTTATATACAGAAAATCGAGAGTATTTATGGTATTTCAGATGATCCTGGGCTTCTGGAAAGTTCCGAAACTCTAATAAACATAGTAGCAGGATAGGTAATTATTCAGTTAGAAATGTGACATGTAACGTTTTACTTTCTAGATGTTTCAGAGAAACTTCTATTCAATGCTGTTTGAACAGAAATATTTCCTAGCAATTCGAAAGCTCCTCTGGGCTCTTTTTTCAAGAAATATTATGAATCTTCCCAAAAATCAATAACCCTTAAACCAATCAGCAGTTATCTTTACAATTAAATTAAATTAAAAATTGATTTAATGTAAAGTAGGTAAACATTAGAAATCCTAGTAATATTGAATAGGTTTTCTTATTTGCTTCAATTTCTCTTTTATAGTTGATTTTTATAATTGTACGTATGTTAAAATCTAGAGTATTTAAATCCCTCAAGAAGTAGAGTATACTTATCACATAGTCTAGCTGAACTTTAACATAATAATCTATATATTTTAACTCTATCTTACTATAGTATTGATTCTGTCAATCTCATATGCCCTGGCGTTATATCAGACTAAGAAATTCACTTTCAAATTAAATCAGTAAAAAAACAGAACAAATGGTTTAAGGCTAGTAGTGGAGTCCAAGATGCATGTTCCTTACTATTTAGGACTCATCAGCTGGATGTACATGCATCCCAATGCTGATGTTTACATCGAAACTAGTACCTCTCATTCAAGCGCCAAAATAAATTGTTCGCTAAGTTGTTCAGTCCAACAAATACTTATCAAGATTCAGTCAAATATATCAACAAAGGAATAATTGAAACTTTTCCTAGTAATGATGCAATCACAAGTAGCTTAACAAAGATTAAGAAATAATTTCCGCTCCACTAAAGTACATTTAACTGTTTCACATCTTCTATGTCCGCGATACCTACTTTCTATACTTAAAAATGAAGTACCACTACAATTACCATGACGCGAAATAAGAACACAATGACTGGTATAAGTGAAAATTTAATAACCTCAAGAACACGACGATCCTAGTCGGAAGTACACTCATTTATTTATAGACTGTAGACCTATTCCCAGAGTTATAACAAATAACATACTCCATATCATACTAAGCATAGTTCACATTAATTTAATATAAAGAATTTCATATCTTAAATAACCATCATATTAAAACAAAAATAATGTTATACCATATAAAATATCACACTGGCAAACAAACGCTACACTGAATAATTAACACATTGAATTAAAAACAGACGTAATATTGAACAAGAATCACAATAAGTAAAAGAATGTAACTTTGTCTTTTTCATCTCGTCATATCAAATCTTTATCAATTGTTATGATGTAATACCTATACGTTAATCTGTTGTTTACGCTTATATACTTATTGCTCATATTCTTAGTATTTATTATATGCTGGAGAGAATAATAAAAGGCAACGGTTTGGATCTATTTATGAATTTATACCATATATATGCATTGCATAATTGTTAATCAACTAAACTATGTATATTCATATTCCTCTTATTATGAGGTTTTATTTGACTTATTGACTATTATTACACGATTTACACTTCTTAAGTTATGCCCAGTTTATTAATTACAATCTCTTACAATCACACCCATTTTTGATTTGATCGTGTACAAGTACTATTTTTCTATTTTATGGTATAATGTGGTCTGTTTGGATTGTATATAAACCTAGTATGTTTAAAATCTATGATTTATATTGCAGAGGCTGAGATTTGTGTTCTGAATTTAACAAGCAAGGAAAAAGACCAATCGCGGCTTCAAGCTGTATACATCATTTGTTGTCCATATAAATCCCCGTATCTAAATTTAGCAATCATATTCACAATAATCATGGGGTCGTGGATGCGCACTGCTTAGGAGTCGCATAATAGGACGAAATAACCGTCCAGTGCTTCCAGGTATTTCATGATGGTCTAACTTCAATGGGACTCATGATCTCAACTATTGAAATAATCATATAAGTTAATGATCTAACAAATATTAATGTGTTTTGTGGAGAATTTAGGAAATTTCACAGGTTGAAATCATGAGTCAATTAAAGCTAGACCACCATGGAAAACCTGGGAGCACTGGACGGCCGTTTCATCCTAGTATGGCACTCCTCAGCAGTGCGCATCCACGATCCTGCACCACGCGAGGCTCGAACCCATGGTGGTCTAGCTTCAATTGACTCATGATTTCAACCTGTGAAATATTAATGTTTCTTTATTTCCAATCATCACTAATTATTTTACACCTATTTGGCATATCATTCAATGACAGTTAGATTGATCATTATGAAATGATAATTTTTGTCAGTGAAATAATCAAATCAGTTCATATTGCAAAGTGAATGTGTTAGTATAGAAAATTATTATTTTATTATTCTATTCATTTGATCAATGTATTATTATTATTATTGTATAAACAATTAAGTATAGAGTATACTCATCATTGTTAATTTAATTGTATCAATAATATCAACATATATTAATCTATAATAACAATTAGAAAGGGAATAAAACATATAAACATGATTTTATCATATAGAATACAATTGAATATAAATGGCTAATTCAATATATTACATAAAATACAATAGAGTATTTAACTAACAGTATAAATAACTACTATTATCAAGTTAATGTAAATAGTGTAAACTGCTATAAACTATCTTTTGTTATTTGTACTACTATGCAATCTTTAATATACAAACACTTACACACATACACACACACACTACTATTCGGTATGTATGAATATTCATAACAAAAAAATACACTTTGTAGCTGAGTTAAGGCAGAATGAGTTAGATACATAAAGAATTACATCAAAGCTTTTACTAATCATTTCATAAAACTAATTGAACAATTAAACAACGAATTATTATACATGAACTAATCATTCATAATGTAAATGATTAAGATAAAATAATGTAAACTAGAAATTAATAGAGGGGAGTGGGAAGATGAAATGTTTTTTAGAATAAAAGTTTCCCTATTGGTTACTCACTTATTTATATACATAAATAAAGGAGTTATCACTTAGGAACAAGAAAACACATTTAATCAAACTATTTAAATTGAACTAATTACATAATCATTTTTTATTCTTCAAAAAAATTGTTAAAATTTATTTTATCTTTAATACAATGTTTATATTTGAAATGCCACGTGTTGTACATATACGTAAACCGGAATTAGCTATATTACATCGTTTTATACAATTTAGTATATTAACTTATTTTATTATTTATGTTATGTGGTTAAAAAAAGGTTATCAATCATTTGATCGTCCTATTAGTGGTGTAGCTGTTAAAGTATATGGTATAGCATGGAAACAAATATTTAAATATCAAAATCGTGATACAAATGGTATAATTGTATTAGATAATGGTGATTATTTATTACAACCAATACAAAATTCTGGTTTTTATTTAATTACAACAATTAAACATTTTGTTATACAAAGTATGACAACATGTAGTGAAAGTGATTATTTACCTGATGCAATATGTTATCATGATAATGATTGTCCAATTGGTTATCAAGCTTGTTATAAACCATATGATCCAAATGGTATTGTACCAAATGAATATAATATAAAAATTGATGAAAGTGGACATGGTATATTTACTGGTAAATGTTTAATTCATTATAATAAATGTCAAATATATGGTTGGTGTCCAACTACTGATAATTATGAATATGAATTATATAAACAACGTTATTATAAATTACAATTAATTAAACCACCAAATATATTAGAAAATTTTTATAATTATTTTAATGATTTAAATTTTTTAGATAATAAACGACAAATTAATGAACGTACTATACATTTAATAGATCCATTTTTTGAAATGATTAATTTTACATTATTTATTAAAAATAGTATAGAATTTCCACAATTTAAAATAAAACGTAGTAATATATTATCATGGATGACAGATATTTATATAAATAATTGTTTATATCAATCAACACATACTATTGATAAATATTGTCCAAAATTTCGTTTATATGATATATTTCAATTAGCTAAAATTAATTCAAATCGTTTATTAAAATATGGTGGTATAATAGCTATAACTATACATTGGCAATGTAATTTTGATTGGAATATTAATTATTGTTTACCAAATTATGAATTTTTAGAATTAGAAAGTGTACATAAAGTTAAAAAAATGAAAAAAATAAATAAAATTAATTATAATAAAATAAAAAATTTATCTGAATTTACATTAGATTATACTTATAATGTATATCAATCAGATAACAATGATAATGATGCTGCTGATGCTGCTGATGATGACGATGATGGTGATGATGATGATATTATTGATGATAATGAAGAAGTGATTACAATACATGAAGGTTCCAGTTTACGTAGTACTGCATATTATGGTTATGATACAGAATTAATAAAACAACGTAAACGTATATTAATACATGTGAATGGTATACAATTTATTATAAGAGTAAATGGTATAGCTGGTAAATTTAATTTATTATCATTTACAATGAAATTTGGTTCAGGATTAGCATTACTTAGTTTATCAACAATAATAACTGATTTTATTTTATTTTATTTTACATATAATCGAAAAAATTATAAAAAAATTATATGTGATGATAAAACAATCCATTTCTTATCACAAATGATTATTAAGAAAAAAATTTTATCAAAATCTGAATTAGAAACAAAATCTTCTTCTCGTTAATACATTTTTTTCTTTGTTTTTAGTGTGTGTGTGTGTGCGTGCGTGTGTATGTGTCTGTTTAAAAATAAAAAAACAACAATTCCTTTCATAAGAAATATATACAAGAATTAAAATTTATATTTAATAATTAGTAGAGAAGAAAAATAGAAAAAAGAAAAAAGAAAAAAAGAAAAAAGAGAAAAGAGAGAAAAAAGAAAATGAAGAAATTTTACTTTTAATTAAAAATTATAAATGAATAAAAAGAAAATTCAAGACGATTTTTGTTTGTTTGATTTATTGTTGAATTTCAATTTCAATCATTATTGATATTTATAATTCAATTAATGTAACATCATGATAATGACTAAATTTACAATGATATCTGCAATGAATATCATTACTGCTACTATTACGACTATTAATACTACTGCTACGACTACTAATACTAATACTACTACTAATAATAATAATAATAAAACTTGCGCAGATAAATTAACTAACTGCAAATCTAATTCATATATCATTGTCGATTATTTCAGAAATAAAAAAGCAAACTACATCATACAATACAAGCACAAGTTCCAGACTACAATACAGAATTCATAAAAGAATTTAATAAGTAAATTTTAAAATACAAAAAAATTATTCTCATTATCGTCTTCATTTTGTTTTACACAATCATTATCATCATTATTATTATTATTTTTATTATCATTATTATCATTTTAATCATCTCCATTGTCATTGTCTTATTTTTCATGTGAATCAATAAAGCCATGTGAAAAGTAAACTCTTTTCATATTGAAATATATTAGACATTGTTAAGAAAGTAAAAGAAAACTCAAAATATGTTTGTTTTCACTATTCATAATCATTGACATTACTTGTAGAACAATATTGACATAATTAATTACTTACTAAGTCATATTATTTGTCATTAAGAATAGTTATAACATTATGTTGAATGGTAAACGCTTTCTTTTTGTTTAACATGAATACTTTATTCTAAATAAAAAGAAATAAATTTCATTTGATGTTCTTTTTCACATAGCAAAGTGAAGAAATTGAGAGGTTGACTATATAGTTAGAGATAATTAATTTACTATTCCTATCAGAGACATGATGATGATGATGATGATGATGATGATGATGATGATGATGATGATGATGATGATGATGATGATGATGATGATGATGATGATGATGATGATGATGATGATGATGATGATGATGATGATGATGATGATGATGATGATGATGATGATGATGATGATGATGATGATGATGATGATGATGATGATGATGATGATGATGATGATGATGATGATGATGATGATGATGATGATGATGATGATGATGATGATGATGATGATGATGATGATGATGATGATGATGATGATGATGATGATGATGATGATGATGATGATGATGATGATGATGATGATGATGATGATGATGATGATGATGATGATGATGATGATGATGATGATGATGATGATGATGATGATGATGATGATGATGATGATGATGATGATGATGATGATGATGATGATGATGATGATGATGATGATGATGATGATGATGATGATGATGATGATGATGATGATGATGATGATGATGATGATGATGATGATGATGATGATGATGATGATGATGATGATGATGATGATGATGATGATGATGATGATGATGATGATGATGATGATGATGATGATGATGATGATGATGATGATGATGATGATGATGATGATGATGATGATGATGATGATGATGATGATGATGATGATGATGATGATGATGATGATGATGATGATGATGATGATGATGATGATGAGGGAATCTATAGAAAATCCCGATGTTTCCAAACGACTTTTTCTATCATATTTGATTCGAGATTTGTTATACATCATAGCTTCTCATCTAAATATATTAATTTCTAAATTGAAATCTACTTCAGTAATGAAGTTTCAGGTTCACATCTATTTACTAAATCTTTTTTCATTCTTATTTGATAAATTTATAACGTAATGTTTATTTTATCTTTTTAAAATTTCGTCAGTAAATTGGGCTTCTCTAGTATTTCTTTTTTTGATAATCGTTCTAAATTAGAAAAAAAATTGGTAGGGGTTCCTCATCCATCATAATATTTTTCAAATTAAGCTGTCATTTGTTCTTCGTTACTACATCGATTTCATCTTCAATTAACCGTTTTATCTTCAATGATTATAATTATAATCATTGCAAGTAATTAAACGTAATAGATGCACGAAATGAATGAAGTGATATCATGAGCAATTATAAATAAAATAATGAAAATATGAGACATAGGTAAAGGGAGAAATGTAGTAATAATAATAACAAATTAAGGTCAAGTTAAAGATAATGATAGGAAGTACTTCTTTTTTACGCATAGTTCTGGCATGAGATCATGGATACTAAGAGCTTCAGTTATTTTTAGGAGTTGGACATAAAGAAATGTAGGTAGATTTAGAAGAATCGTATATACTACCTTAAAATCAAACTGTGGACCGTTGAAATGATTACAGTTGATTAGATGTTCAAGTATAGAACTTCTAACTGCTTTCCTTTTACTCTCGTTCAACCACACTAGGACATGTTTGCGTATCTAAGTTAAAAGCGAGCGCTAGCTACGGTCAATGTACATTGCTTCACAAGAGCAGATGAACTGGTAGATGCACATTTAGGTGACCAGACGAGGAAGCTCACCTTTTAAGGATACAGAAAACAAGTTTCTACTAGTGAACGTTATTTGCAGCTTTTCCGCATATTATGTTCTTTTTATTGCTGTCGCTAAACGATTTTTGATTACATCAGATGTTTGATCACTTAACTCAAAGTTAATAAATCTGAAAAACCTTTAATTTGATCTATGCCTCGAAAACTGTTTAGAAAAAATTATTGTCCTATCCAATCAATACTTTCATGGTTTTTCTGTATACCAACCAGATAACATTACCGTTCAATTCATTTATCATCTCTGTATTCTTTTATTCTCTGAAGAAGTGACTTACACTAAGTCACGAAACGTCAGAAAATCCAATTTTCTACTCATTGGGATATTACAAATATATTATTTTTATTTAAAACATAAAAATTATTGCGCTTAAACTAAGATTCAAGGAAAACGAAAAAAACTGGAAATAATTGTTACAAGGGTTGAGAGAATCTAATTACAAAAAGAAATCCAGTAAATTTTATTAATTCATGTTAATATTTTAGGATATTATTACAATGAATAAAAGTGAGTTACACCATACGTTTATAAATTGATAGAAACCGTCACAGTTATCTAAAGAGTTGAGGTTTTATAACCAGTTTATATGAATTTTGTAGTGATAGAATGGTTCTTTAGATAAATCTTTGTTTTGAACCTTAATTTCATACGTATCTCAATTATGTACTTGAACTCTTCAGTAAAGATTGACAATTACGTTTCTTTTCAACTAAGATATTTTCATTTATCAAATCTACTGTAATATTTCAAATTTATTTCCTCCCTTTTTCCCCATATATTGTCTTTAAACATTTTTGATTATCAGAATGGGTTTTGTGGAGAATTTTAGAAATTTCACAAGTTGAAATCATGAATCAGTTGAAGCTAGACCACCACTGAAAACCTGGAAGCACTGGACGGCCGTTTCGTCCTGGCATGGGACTCCTCAGCAGTGCGCATTGTATACTATAATGTATGAATTCCCTTTATAAAAACAAACTACATTCTTATTTACTGCATAAGGTAAAGACAATCTTATAATTGAAATTACTTCTTTTTTGCATATGTGACCATGAGCAGTTAAAGTAGTGGAGAGTATTTGATGTATAAGGCAGTTCGCATATGCATAGGCTGCCTTTCTTTTCTAGTATACAGGCATTTAAAGGAACTAGACATTAAAAAAAAAGATATTTTTTTTAATGATTGGTCACTTCAGTTAACAATTATAGTTTAGTTTTTTTGTAGTGTATCATTTAGTTCCAATACTGTAAGTATGTTTTGCAGATAATTTTTCAACTGTTGTTGAAAACAGTCTAAATGTTAGTTTGATGTATACATTGAAAAAAACTCACATATTTTCATGATTTTGTATTTAAATTTAATAATATTTGATTTTGATGCCCGTCAACCAGGTTACTGAAATATAACATCGTGTTGTATAGGTAATGTAACTGATGTGCATAGGACCATGTAAGTGTTTTTCTAAAGTTTGCTACTATGAAATGAAATAAAATGAGTCTTTTAGTTAAAATCAAAGTCTTAATTTTTTTAATCGAAGGAGTAAGTGAATATCTGTTTGGTTTTGGGTATGATTACAAACTAGATTCGATTATTTGACTAAGTAAATTAAGCCTAGTGATATAATGTCCACCTTTTCAACACAGTCATTGTGTAAAATACTATAGTTGTCTGAAGTCTAATAAACCCCAAATATTTTAACAATTATCTATTTCAAGTGTAGTTATGAAACTGAGACTCGAACCCAGAACCTTCGGTCCTGCGTGCGAGATCGTGGGTACACACTGATAAGGAGTCCCATCCAGTGCATCCAGGTTTCCAATGATGGTCTAACATTGATCGGCTCGTAATCTCAATTGAAACTCAACAATTTTCACAACCCTGTACTGATGATTTCTTACTTGTCTGACTATTTACATCAATGAATAAATCGTACAACACATATTCACATGGATGAATCTAGTTTAGAATGACATCACTTATCGAAACTGTTATGCATTGATGACACTTTTTGTACACATAAAATTTCTGATTACGGAAGTGCACATTATTTGATTCTCAACAGCAATATTTGTCGACGAATCCTGATTTTAAATTTACAGTAACTTATCAGATTGATATGGTATTTATTGAAAAGAATATGTGTCATAATTAACTTGTAATGAAATTGGATAAGTCGTTGTAGTTTGTGTGTTTAACGAAGCGAGAAAGCTCATGAGTTTTATGAGTGAATTCTATGGAGTCTCTTTACGATTTTCAATATCACTTACATTCAGTCTATATATTATGTCCTTAGCTATACGATATTGCGAAAATATGATTGCCAATTTAGATACTCTGACTTATACGACCAAACTAATGACACACACCTGTACGAGCAACCTAGAGTTCCGACTGGCCTGTTTTCCTTCCGGCCCTTCCTTTTAAGTTCAGAACACAAATCTCAGTCTCTGCGATACAAATCATATATTTCAAACATACTAGGTTTATATACAAACGAATCAGACCAGATCACATCATAAAATGGGAAATAACATTTCTACAGGATCAAGCCAAAAGCAGCTGTGATTGTAAGGAACTGTTACTAATAGATTGGGAATATTCCAACAACAGTAAATTGTATGATATATATATAATGTGAAATTCACCACTTTTGATAATAAAATAATAATAACTAATGATTCTTTCTTTACGGAAATAGTTGGATTGGTAGGCGTACACTTCAGTAGTAAACTATGTTAAGTCTTAAGATTAGACAAACATGATATAATTCACCGCTGATTAATTTCTGATTGAAAAGTATGGCAGCAAAACACAATACACAAAGTACAGAGTCATTTGGACATGTAACTGCATAGCAATTTCATAAACAGAATCAAATTGCAACCTAAGACAAGACAAATATAATATTATTAAGAACTCATATATCAATTATTGAAAAATTAAAGGTTCAAAATCAAGTGGAATGTGCTATATTACAGTCATGTCACTTGTAGATACATATAAAGGTACATTATATCTGAAACTCTCTAAAACAGACGGACAATCAACATCTCTTTTAATGACAACATAAGAGTTACATGTCGTCGAAATTTACGGTCAAATCAACCATAATACTGTGAAGTTCTCGGTGAACCACCACGAAATCAATATAATTTACAGAAACTAATGTCGATAAGCAAGACGCTGTCAGGTGAAAACATCACGATGACAAACAGATCGGAGTGCATCGAATCATTTGTTATTCACCCGGACAATCAAAATGTAAACATTAATGCTAAATATCTCGAAAAATCATTTGACACGCTCACTTCCATCCGTTTTCTACACTTCCAGTAACAGAGATAGATTTGTTAGTGGTTATGAGTCACGTCCTGTGAAGGAAATATGAATAAGATATGGACGATAATTATTCTATTTACTGGGGTGTGACACAAAAACTTAGCTCGAACACACATCATGCGTGAAGTTGAGGGTCAGTGACTTTTTCAAACAATATTACAAGCACGATTCTCTGAAGCCAATTGCGAATACAACTGAAAAGTATGGTTTGTTGGAAATCAAATAAAACGAGTCAGTTGAAGTGAGCTTAGAGAAACCGTGTAAAGTGATGATAATGGAACGAGACCTTGATTTTCGGTTGATTCTATCATTTTATCGTTATTTTCGTATATGTTGTTATATTTTTAACAGCAGTTTACTTTCCAATGCTATATTTTTTGCACCACTATATATATAAATAGGCTAAACAATATGATTTTATTGTTTAAACTCAATAAATTGATGCTTATAAGTTGAAATAGGAATTCTTTTTTGTCAATTGATAGCTAACTTGGTAACTTACGACGACCTAATGTTAAGTGAGCATAAATTGCATAAAAAGTGTATATAATGAATTAATCGAGTAAAATGAGAAACAATTTTTTTTATCATATTTCATTTGTTGTTGTTGTAATAAATAATTCTGTGTCATTCACATAGTGTATTCGTGATTATTTAGTGCATTCAGTAGAAAGATTTGTAATCGAGTGATTAAAGTGTTAAAATTATAACAATTTCTATTCCAAGGAAAACCCATATCACGTAAAAGTTTGATATGATGGATATCGTTTACAAATTAGTTACAAATCAGAAAGGAATACTTGTTAAAAGGCTTAGCATTTAATTTCATTACTAAGTAATCGATGAAGGCGATCTTGTTTAACTTACCAATTGTTTAAAAATACAAATTTAAAAACTATTAAATACTTAGGATTACAATATCAATATTCAATATTGAAGTCCAACTATGATTAGTGAGTAAAATGAATCGAAATTCGCTTAAATTATTTAGATGAGTATTAAGTACTCTTTACTGTAAAGTGGATAAATGTGATTCCGAAAGTATTATTACACAAACATTGAGAAATGGGATCAAGTGAAGAATCATTGAACAGGGGATTGTTAACAGTATGCAGCCTGACAATTGCATGTACTGATCAAACGAAAATACGAACGAACTGATTGGTCCATTCTTAACCAATCAGTGCTTGTGGGTAAATCGAAATGCCAAAAATACATCAATGTTTTTACTACGGGTATTTTTGTTGTTCAGCTTATTGAAATATGTATTATTCGCCATAATTTTTTGTTTTAATTAGGAAGATTTGTGTGAAGTATCATAGTCAAGAAAAAATAGACAGTAGAAGCATATAAGAAGAGCATATGATTATTTTAAAATAAAATATTTAATCTAACACAATCAAAAGAAATACTTACCTTTTAGCATTGGTTGTGCACCATCTAAACATTCTGGACTTAATTCATTATCACCAAATGAACCAAGTAGTTCACTGACAAATATATCAGCTTTTTCTGGTGTTTTTAAATTACGCATATCACCTTCAATTAGTTGTACATCTAATCCTTGCCATTCATGATTTATCCTAGACTGAGTTTAAGGCAAAATATATTGAAAATATAAACTGAACAAGAGATGAGATTAGGAAAAACGATCATAGATTTTCAGTATAGGGGTTGTGGAGATTACTAAGTTTTGATTGCGATCATGAACCGAGCGATGTTAGACCACCGTTGGAAACCTGGACGGCCGTTTCGTCCTATTGCGAGACTCCTCAGTAGTGCGCATCCACGATCCCGTGAGCGGGATCAATCGGTTCATGATCTCAATTTTAAAAAATCATAGATTTGATATAGCTCAAAATATATTTTTTGATGAATGTTTAAAAATGTAATTCGTGAAGCTGTAAAGACGCATAAGTTTATCGTAATTTTAGAAAATTCTCAGAATAAGTATTATTTTCTATTTTCTTCAGTTTGTTTCGTCTAAATTTTTCTCACAGTCTAGCAATCGATAACTATTTGAAGTATTGTTTACACCTAAGTTTTTTTTTCATTTTGATGCACTAGTGTTACATGTGTAGCTATATAAATTGATACACTTGTGTCAGATGCTACGTTGCTTAAAATTAATTTGGGACAGATATTTGTCGGCTGAGAATGTCATGTTACATATTACAACAGGGAGATGTGAAACGAAGGAGTGAAACTAATAGTAATATCAAAATCAGTGCCACTCTATATGTTGTTTATGTTTCCTAACTTAACAGAAACCTACAAGCACAATGAATTAAAGTTAGTGTCACATCTTGATAACGAACATCATAACAAACATACTAGTCAGATGAAAAGTTACATTTATTATTCGTCATTGAAGCGCGGTTCGAACCTGCGATATTCCGGTTGAGAGCCAATTGTTTTAAAAACTAATTGCTAATTATGTGGTGTTATGCATATTACTATTCAGTGTAAGCAACATCATAGTAACTCAACCTGTAGCTCTTCCAGGGTTACTGCCGATCCCTAGCCCGAGTAAAGGAGGATTGCTAAAAAATCGCTAATCACAATAAACAATTTAAACTCTGCCATAGGATTCTGAGGATCTTCATCGAGAAGAGTTATGACACTTCATGATGAAGGCCAAGATTCTTTGGAAGTCACGAGACCGATGCCTCGAAACACATGGCAATATTCAAGAGAGGATGAACAAGAGAGTGAAAGGGGAGCATTAGAGCCGACAAGCAGAAATACGTGAAAGACATAGCAATGACAGAGGAATAAGCTGCAACAGAAGGAAATATGAAACATCTATATGACATAACGAAGAAACTAGCAGGGAAATATGGTAAACCAGAACGACCAATCAAGAACAAAGAAGGCAAGACAATCACTGAAATTCAAGAACAGAGGAATAGAAGGGCAGAACAATTTGAAGAACTCTTGAATAGATAAGCCCCAATGAACCCTCTGTACATCAAAGAAGCACATACAGACCTTCCTGTAGATGTCACTCCACCAACGATTCAAGAAATCAGGATGGCTATCAGACAAAACAAGAGTGAGAGGGCAGTGTGACCAGACAACATACCAACTAAAGCACTGAAGTAAGATAT